CTACTACTACTACTACTACTACTACTACTACTACTACTACTACTACTACTACTACTACTACTACTACTACTACTACTACTACTACTACTACTACTACTACTACTACTACTACTACTACTACTACTACTACTACTACTACTACTACTACTACTCCTAGTCCTACTCCTACTCCTACTCCTTCCCCTCCTCCTCCTCCTCCTCCTCTTCCTCCTCCTGCTCCTCCTCCTTCTCATCCGCAAATTAATCATCCTTCTCCCTCCTCCAGCACCCATCCTCATCCCTCCTCCTCCCTCGAACGATAACGACTGTCCTCCATGTTGCCCCTACGTTTCCATGATCATCTCAACTCGCCTGGGCGTCGGTTTTGGATGGGCTGGTGGGGAAACTTTTCTGTTCGCGAGCGCAAGCGGAAGAGCCGCGCGCCGCCAGGCGTTGGTGGGGAAACTTTTTTGGGGGGCTCGCGGCTCCAAGGCGAGGGACAAGGAGCGGGTCAACGTCCGGGGCGCGGTACGAAGATAACTGGCCGCAGTGGCGCATGCACGTGCCAGGGACAAAATGCCCCTCATTGAGACGCAGGACAGCGTCGGCAGGTGACCGGCCCAGACAACCCGGCAGGTGGGGAAACAAAGGCGCGGCGACCGGCAGCGGAACGGAGGGGAGAAGTCGCCCTGGCGGCGCCAAGCTCCAGCCGAACCAAATTCGGAAGCGAGGCCAAGAGAGACGGCGACGAGGCACTGTAAAGCCGCATGCGCGGAATCGAATGGCCAATGACCACGCGAAGCCCACGTGCGTGCACCCAGTGACAGGCCTAGACCTCAGAAAAGAGAGGGGGGGGAGTGCGAGCGCGAGCGACTAAATCGGACTCACTGCAGCACCCCGGGTGAACGATGGTGCGGCGAAAGAGGCCTGACTCGTGAAGGCTCACTGGACCTAAGGTGTGGCTGAACCGCGTCAAAGCGCCATGCAGTAGAGAAAGACCACTGGTGTGCGCTCACGAGGCTGAGCCACCTCCAGCCGGTAGCCTGCGCGTGCACATCGTATCCGACTCACGCAGTTCGGGGGCCCAACGATGCAAAGTACTGACGAGGGCTGGTAGCCGGGGCTGCTCTGAAGAGAGCGACCACGAACTGCAGAAGGCTGAACCACTCAATGCAGGGCCGCTCACTTGACGAAGCCAAACACCGGGTGTCACCGAATGCATGGCTGACAGCTGCACCCAACCACACCTGCCACGCTGCCCGTGCGGAAGCCGAATACCACGACGCCGGTGGCGTGACGATGGCTGGCGGCTACC